TAGATTAAAAGCAATGCTAAGAATTTTCAGATTGTTTTAAAATGTCAAGCAAGTTTTTTTTTTATAAAAATGGTAATCTTTAATGGTCATGGCATAGGTATCTCCCTGTAAAGCGTTCAAAACTTCGGGGAACAAAAGTCAAAATAAATCAACGAAAAATGCCGAAAGGATAGTTTTATTTAAAAGTTTTTTTATATTAATTTTTATATTTCACTCTATCATTATCTATTTTTTAAATCTTATCATTCTCATCTTTTTGATGTTATCAAACACATCAAAATATAAGGTCAGTTATTTTAATTAATTATATTTATAAGATTACTAAATTTACTTCTTCAACTTGTACCAAACGTGAATCAGCCTTGTAATTTGTCCCCTATCGATTAGCGGCAATTGTCACATATCATTTCATATCTTAGTACCTTCACGTCGATTCATGGTTATTACATGGCATGCCATATAAATATTTTTAAACTATTGTTTATAACAAACAAAAATTTACTGTATTGTTACTGTTTTTTTATAATTATAAGCAAAGAGTAGTAGGTACAATTTTTACTTGGCACTGTTTGAAGCGGAAGTTACAAGTTCGATTACCGCACGTAGCAAAATACTAGACTTCAAAAAGATTGATGTATTGATACAAATAATGGAATCTATTCCACAATCTATAATCCCAGATCCAATTTTATACAATTTGCTTTTTTACAAATCAAATTTAATTTAAATAAATGAACCTTTACAATATAATGTGTGTTATTTCTCAACTCTATTGTATAGCAACAAGCAGTGCTTTACAAAAGAAACTAATATCCCAGAACCTATTTATCAAAAAATCCATCTTTCACTGATTCCATCACGCTTTGTCAACTGTCTTGTCATGTTCACTGGTGGGGTACAAAAGACCGCACACTTCATTTGAGGGTCACAATAAGCTCACACAAGTTTTAAATGACCCTAATACGATGAAGGGCATGTATTTAATATAAAGTAGTGCTATTATTATCCGTTACACAGAAATTCAGGTAAAAATCAATTTACATATGAAATAATTCGACAATAGAACCACCTATTGGAGGGACTAACCCTATAATTCAGCGCAGGTCTATATTATACCGTATGCGTAATTTATACGCTGATATGTTAATTTACTTCACCTTATGTTTATGGTAATCGTAATTGGTTATTTCGTTACAGAGATTGCACTGACGTATCCCATCAATCTCTTGTTCAACTGTCGCCTATAATCACACCGTGAGAGTCAGACCCATAAGCTGTCGTATTATTGAAATGTACGATATTATCTCAATTAATATATAATCTGGGATATTATTTATATGCGCTTTTGAAATATTTTAATGTTTTTATTAATTTAAATTTACAATCATTTTGTTTTATTTTAGGCAAAGTTTTATTACTTTTTAGAACAATTAAATTAATATAAACGTAAAGAAAAAATCTGCTAATTTTTGCCATTTTTTATTTGTATAGACCACCTGTACATTTATTTTTACTTAATATAAACAAATTAAAATGCATATTTGTCGAGGCATTTAACTCAAGTCATATTCAGATGTTATACAAATTTATTTAATAATTAAAATAAACAAATTTTCAAAAACGTATGACTTATTTTAGTTTGACTTTGAATCAAAGTTAATACAGCAAAGGTGCATAGATCAAGTTGCTCTACATTTTATTATATCTTTTACTAATAATTATCATTGTATGTAAAGGAATATGTAAATTTTATTACAAACGATATTTCCAATTTTAATGTAAATTATCTAATTTTAAATTGTAATATATCCACGCTGTTAATATGCGATACGTTTTGAATAATAAGTTCGTATATCGAAATATTCAATTACATATAGAGTACCTATTAATTATGTATTTTATGTATGTACATATTATAGCAGTTTTTTTAATTGTATATACTTTATGTATAATAATATTTATAATAATTATTATTTATAAAAAAATATTGAAGGGAGGCCCGTGCCCAGCAGTGGGACGATAAAAAGGGCTGAATACAAGGAAAATTACAAATATATATACTTAAGTATATTATGTATACACAAATGTACATTTAATTATGTACAAGTCATGTCCACGTGGAATAGTGGTAAGAATGCTAACGCAAAGTAGTTACTTGGTCTGTATTATAGAAGATACGCTGACTTTCACTTTCCATTTATTGTTCTAACTTTTAAGCTGTTTTGTTCTTGAAATCGTTGAGATGATTATTGATGTTACATATACCTATATAAAATATTCATTAAAACGTCATGAAAATCAGTTTACAAGTAACGATGATATCGCGTGATATACGCACAGAAATGTACACCCGAATTGAGTACTTCCAGTTTTTGAAGTCGGTAATTAAGTGCGAGTTAGAGTTTTTACAGTGTATTGGTATAAAGAAATAATCAGACGCAGTCTTTAATATAAATATGTGTTATTTAACAGAGTCCAGTTTATTGTATACATGAAAATATACGAGTATAATATATAGCATTAATTAATTCATTATTAATTGATTAATCCCATTAAATGCGAAAGTTTGGATGGATGTTTGTTACTTAATCACGCCAGAACTGCTAAACGGATCTGGATGAAATTTGGGACAGAGATAGATTATAGTCTGGAATAGCAAATAGGTTACTTTTTAGCCCGGAGAAATGTATGGTTCCCGTGGGATAGGTTTGTTTTTGTTTTCCTAGAAGTGAACCCGAGCGAAGCAAGGGTGAGCTGCTAGTATCTAAAATTAATAAAATTATATTTTACGCTTCAATACAATTTTTAAATCTGCAAAAAATATTTGATTAATGTACACACATACTTTGTTTTTGCCACCAATTTCACCTTGAAGTAATATATAGCGCTAAATAACATATACTAAAAAATATCTTTTTAAATTTTTATTAAATTATATTTAATATGTATTTAATTATAATATTTCCAATTATTCAATATTAATTCTTTTCATTTAGATCTACGAAGCAGTGTTAGTTTAGACGATCACAACTAGATGGCGTTAGTGGTATCGAATAGCAATGTTCTTTAAATCAATGAATTGCAAACTATGTCAAAGTCGCGCTAAGTTATCTAGAAGTTAAATTGTTAATTTTATAGTATTTGTGATTGATTATAATATAATCAAGTCAGTAATAAATTATATATTATATTATTTCATATTCATTATGATTTATATTTCTGCTGTGCGCCATTTGGCCCAGTAGCTTTTAGTACAATGTTAATGATTCTTGAAAATTTATGATTATGATGACGTAATACTCGTTTACTAGAAATTCGACTGACTTCACATATATCCTTTTTTGACTTCTAACAGTTCCGTTTTTATTATGTTTATTTTTCGTGTTAATAAGTTTTTAAACAATTACTTAGACAGAAATGTACCTAGTCTTTCGCATTTTAAAAATTAAAGATTATTTTATATAAAACATTATTAAATATTGCTAAGTAGAAAAAAATGTTAATGTTATTTTTGTCATACAGATAAAATTCAGGGATTATCACCAAATTGCGTTTTATTTTTTAATCTTAAACTTAATTAACTTTTCTATTTGTCCCGTAACTTCACGCTATTAGATAGATAAATAGATACTTTATTGTACACCACAAAGAAGTATACAAAAGAAGATATAGGCAATAGATGATGCACAGGAGGTGGCCTTATTGCTATATATATTAAATATTTTTTTAGGCTGGTTAAAACACCAATATAATCAGTATAACTATACAGGAATTGATCCCGCAACTTCAGCGAAAACGACTAAATAAATTAGCACTGTGCCAGCCACTTCCTATTTTATAGTTATATTTATTCAGTAATATATTATAATTACATTAATGCTAAGCAATGACTAAATAACAAAATTATTCAAAACATTTGATAATTTATAACAGCTGATGACATTTAAATAGCGAGATTCACTTTTTAATTCACAAGCAAAGAACGTTATTTTATGAAAATGAGACATGTCATATTTAATATTTTTTAATTATATTTATGTATGTTTATCATATTTAAATTATGAAATTGAAAAAAAAAACACTCATAGAATTAAATTATAAAAAAATCACACTCTGTGTCAAACTACTCTATCCGCTGTCTCTTACTTTTCGTGCGACCAATTATCCTTTTGACAGTTGAGTTTTCGACATGACATGGGCCTAATCAAAATAGCATTTATTAAAAAAACACCGAATGAACAAAAGCTGACAGCTCACGGTTTTATTATTAATGACGTTGTGCCTCGTACCGACTCCACGTTTTTTGTGTTTCAATAATTTAAATTTGTTTTGTACATGTTTTTGTGTAAGTGGGCGGTAGCGAAGTATAGTTGCGGGATTGCAGTCTTGCTTTATCACGTTACACGTTGATTGACGGCACTAATGTGTATGTTAGAAGTGTATAAATCAATCACCCAGATCGGTTTATTGCTTCGTGCCAGTTAAAATGATTTAAATGCATAATTTACTTTATGTGAATTCTTATGGCACTTTCTCATTTTCTCTGATGTACATTAATGTGTTGATGTAAATGCAAGATATTTTCGTTTCATAAATTAGATCCATTATGATGTTTTCCGTTATAAATTTTAGTGGGCGTGGAATGTGTGATGTAGTGTTCATGTTTTGGTTTCAGCGATGATATAAAATTAAAAACTTAATAATTCTCATAAACATATTGTATTTGAAATTTTTCATTTAATATTAAACATAGATATTATTTACATAAATCATTTGGCTGTACATAGTCTTTATAATGTAACCCCTACTTCACCCGCAGTTAAAAGTCCGTCGGCAAAATTCACTTATATTATATTTCTATTTAAGATTGCACTATTCACTAAATTTGTCATGGCGACATACGCCTTACATCATCAATTAGTCTATCATGATATCACAGAAGAAAATTGGACAGTACAAACATTAAATATGTTAGACGTAATCCTCACTACACTTAATTACTGGTGCACTGCAGCGGCCCCGATCCGTTGGCCGTACATAGCGTAAGGCGAATAAAAAGGTCCCAGGGCCGGATTGAAAGCACCGTAAGGGGAAGCACCTAGGCTGGCCGGCAAAGCTTTGGAGTAAGGGTGATATCTACTTGCTGAGAGAGGGCTCAAAGGTGCCGTCGGATAAGCGCTGCGAAGTCCGGCGGTAGTAAACAAAGGGTTTAATGGGCTTAACAGCGATTGCTGTGACGAGGATGAAGTTGGGGTAGACCCATCTGTCGTGTGCGACCTCAAGTGTTGCAAGAGTTCTTCTGAATTCCCAAAACGTTTACCGCAGTATGATTCGCCAACAATCCAATTGCAAACGTAAGGACGGCTCATTTGAGAGTAAGGGAGGCTTCCAGCGCCTTGCTGAGAGAGCGCCATTGCCATAGCCAAATTATATTTTTGATGTTCACATTGTGTGCATCCGGCGGGGCAGGCTCCATTATTCATTAGAATGTGATGGTTATTAACTGAGAATTGACATCCGGAACAGTAAGGATCTTTGCAAACTGGTACCAAAGTTTCACCGCCCGCCGGTGTTTTGACTCTTGCATATCCTAAGTAAGGATTAGGAGACGCTCCTGGGAAACCAGCGGCGGCCGCTAAAATTGCAGCGTGATGTGCGCTTAATGGAGCCCCTGCATATGGAGGACGAAATGCGGGATTCGCATGTTGTTCCATTCCAGGTGGACAACACAAGCCAGCTAGCGGATTGAATCCCGGTAATCCAGGTATGTTTTTAAAAGCGCCTAGGTGATCCTTTCCATGTCCTAGTACTTCTAATCCAGATCGGATAATAGGACTTGTACCAGAAGACCCAGCTGATGATGATTTATGATCATTGGATGGGCTACTCTTTCCATTATCCGCCGTAGGCGGAGTGGATTTTCTACCAGGCGTACTTTTTTCAGATTTTTTATCGTCTGAACTATCAGAACTAGCTTTAGATGGTGGTCGGGATTCCTCAGGTTTCTTCGTCACAACATTGGTTTCATAAGGCTTAAAAGCTAAATGTTTAGTTTCAGGAGTAGAGCGCGGTTTATCTGGTTTACTAGCACTAGGTGAAGAACGGCTCATTGTATCACTGTTAACACTGTTCACTGATTTCTTCTTATCGTGTGGAGGCAGCAGAGGCTTTGTCGGTAAAGTGTCTGCACCGATTTGGCTGCAAGTTTGCGCCAAAAGCGCAAGCGGGCTTTTTTTGGAGTCCAACTGTAACAAAAGAAAAAAGAATTAAATAACAATTCTATAAAATAAAATTTATTTTTTAATATTTAAATTTAATAATTTAAATAAAATTAAAAAAAAAAATTTAAATTAAATTCTAAAATAAAATAAATACTTACAGAGGAAGGAAGCGGTGTTAAATAATCTGGCTGTAAATATTGATTGGGGTTAGTCGTCATCATTGCTCCGTCTTCAAGTACCACCATTTGGAATTCAACTTTCACGATCACTACACTATACCCACTGTCAGTTCTGTTAACAACTAGTCTGTGACGCGCGAAATGTAAAACGAATGCGTGCGTTCGAGACGGCGTCCGAAGTGACTGTGAGAGACGAGACCCCACCAGCGCACGACGTTCCGTACCCCCCTCCGCGCGAGCGAGACGTCGATATCTCAAGTCTTTGTTAGAGGAGTACAGCTATATATCTCCGCTGCAGCACACAGTCATAAAAAATAAAGCGGAAACGACACATAGCTGCATTGCGGTAGGGGAAAAAGGAAAGGCGGCATGGCGGGCACGGGTGCGGATTGAGACGTGCGATGGCGTTGGCGGCGAGCCACCCATGACGGCTTTGAGCCGCCGCTCTACCTGCCCAGTCTACACTCAGCTTTTTTGTTCCGCGCCACTTTTATTACGCTTTCGACAACGCTCTCGCCGGCGCTTTGCTGCTGACATATTCGAAACTACTTACTCTTTTACAGTCGCCTTTGTTCTGTACTCGGTTCAAAGGGAAAATTGATCCGTTTCCACGTTACCGTTTGATGTCAATTTTTTACGAGCGTTTGGTATATCACTCGATATTTCATTTTATTGACGGTGCGAGGTCCATAACGTTAATGTTAATCTGACACTAAAACCTGTCAAACACGGCCCCGTTTCGTTGCGATCAAATTAAATATGTCAATTTGGGAACCCATATCAACAGCTGCGAGCGACGTCGGGCCCTTTAGAAATATAGCTTATTGTGTCCAAACAAAGATACTAAGTATAACGTATGGGCGGACGACAGAGGTCGTAAATAACCCGGCGGGTAGTAATATATTTGACAGTGCGCGGACATGCGAAACAAAAAACATGTTTATTGCGATATAGGGCCTCGAGGGCCGGACTTATTCTATAAATAAGGGACCTGACCATTTTAGTGTTTGTTTAGGAGTACATAGGCCGTTATTTGGTCTAGTTAGCGTCTAAATCATGGTATACGTGCGACGTTATCACTTTGTTGGCTGCTAAATTGAAATGTTTTGCCAACAGTATTTAGTTACACGTCGTATTTAGTTTTATTTGGGCTGGTATTATCAATTGTATCATTATAATGTTATAATATTATGCTTACATTTCTTTAATATTTTAGATTTTTTTACGTAACAAATAATATTAATTTGATGTAATGTAGATTTGAGTTCAAGTTCTAAATACGAGGCTAAAGTTTTATATTATTTTAAGGCACCTTTATTAATAAAGAAATATAATACATGTACAATATTTGCTAAGAAGATTTAGTATTTAATATTTATGCTTAATTTATGTATAAGCAGATAAAAATCCATTGAATGGCGTACAAATGACCTGAACTAATGGGGTTTTATCTCCAAAGATAGCTTATCTAAATGGATTTATGGGGTTGTTGGATCGCGATTAGATACCCCATGTTTTAGACATAAGTAAGTATTATGACCAAATTGATGTGTCTGAAGCAGACGTTTGTTTATCGGGCTACAGTTCCCATTTAAAATTTGACTAAAACTCATATTTAATAATTCCGTAACTATTAAAAAACTTTTAACTTAAATTTGCTTAGCAAATGTTACATACAATCAAAATCTAATTCGATAATAGGATTGTATATACAATAGATTGAATTTTTCACTTAATTCTATTATAATGAAACTATAAAAGCTCCAAAACCGCTGTAGTAACAAAATCCACCGCAATCAAAGATTCGCTTGAATAAACGTAACAGGTTTACAAAACCAATTATTTGCCGTCGGTAATTTATTCATGTGTAAACAGACATCATTATGGATTAACAAGAAAAAAGTAAGCAAAAACTGCCGAAAGGCACCTAAATCATGAGATGGAATAAGTGAGCTTGGTTTAGCTACGCTTTTTTAGGGTTCCGTACGGAAGAGTACCAACGAAACCCTATTACTACACCTCCGCTGTTCGTCCGTCCGTCTGTCAGAGGGCTGTATGATATCTCTTGAACTGTAATAGGTAGAGAGTTGAAATTTTTATTTTTACATAATATACAATATTTATATACATACGCTATAACAACAAATAATAAAAATAAATAAATTTGAAAAAAAAATACAAGAAAAATTTTTTTACGTTCGTAATCGATCAACGAAGTTAATATACCATACATAGAGTAAAAGTCATATTAATAAAAACTAAAGAGTACATCTACGATGGTACGGAACCCTCTTTATTTCTTTTTTTGCCAGAATTTATAGTTATTATTATACTGTGTTATTGATTAATACAAGTATTTTTGTGAATTTGTTGATTTATATAATTACTAAGTTTAAATATTTCACAATTATCCTAATTGTGAAATATTTAATTTTATTGTGAAATATCTAATTGTGAAATATTTAATTGTGAAATATTTTATTTAAAAAAGTCAGCTTTGCTTTTGATGAAGTTTGTTATTTTAACAAAAATTTAAATTGCTTTACTAAAACGAAATTATTATTTTATTAAAAAACGTAATAAAATTATTTTTAGATCTACAATTGATTTTATATCTACCTATACATAGTATAAAACAAAGTCGCTCCCGGTGTTTGTACGCTTAGATCTTTAAAACTACGCAACGGATTTTAATGTAATTTTCAGCAATAGATAGAGTGATTGGAGAGGATGGTTTATATGTATAATACATGCATATTATATTCATACTAACCATTAAAACGTCTAGTAGAAGATGAACTGAAGTAATATATGTATGTAAATATCTATACAGATAAATAAAATTGAAGTGTCTGTTTGTAATGTCAAAATAACAGCTTTTTACTAAATGGTACACATACGGTACACATACCAAAACAACATTTTTTACAATGTTTGTCTGTCTGTTTGTTCTGGCTTATCTCTGAAATGGCTCGACCGATTTTGACGGAACTTTCACTAGCAGATAGCTGATGTAATAAGAAGCAACTTAGGCTACTTTTATTTTAGAAAAAATAGAGCCTGACGAAAAAAATTAAAACCAATTAACAATTTAATAATATCCGATTCAAATAGGGAAGTTGTATACATAACCTAGGGACAAACTCGAGCGAAGCGGGTGAGTCGCTAGTATTAAAATATAGTAATATCCGGCTATAATACGTAATATAAAGACGTGTTAACATGCAGCCTGTATACCATATTAATAAATATAAAATATAGGCAAAGTCGGAGATATAAGTTAGTTTTATTACATATAGGAGGAAGTATTGCTGACATGTCGTGTCGTCACTCACCGTACGAATAGACGCAGCGATTATGACGAGCGGATGCGGCGAGATCAAAGTCATATTCAGCAGTCAACTACCACAGGTCGTAATGGTGCGTTACTTTACTACAGTAACTCACGTAAAAGATATCGTTTTGTAATTTCTATTAAATATTATTTTGGTAGATATAAAAGAAGTCAAGTGGAGAAGCTGAATTGTATAGTAATAAACTACCCTCGGAACCAACTCTACAATGTGTGGCAACTTGAATAGATAAATTACTTCAAAACTTGAAGTTTCACTTCAAAACTAAAGTTTATTAAAATACGCTTCGGTTAAAAGATTTTCAAGTTTCTTAGCTAATTACTAATTAGCATCTTAAAGGAATAATAATTTGTTAGTGTTTTTTACGACACGTGATATACTCGTTAGCGAGTATCGAGTACATCAAACTACGCTCATTAATGTTGTAGAACTTTATGATGTCGACGGCCTCATTATGAAAAGACGACTAAAGTGACAGCCGCTCATCCATTAAGTACTTACATAATCTTTAGTCTCTGAATTATCAATACAATATGTGTAAATGAATGATGGCTATTGGCTAAGTTTTAATAAATTTTTATTTTTTATATGAAGGTAATTTTATAGTTTGAATGTTCATGACTTTTCATTTTTCACGCTAAAACGGCTGTATCGATTTAAATGAAATTTGGTACACAGATAGACTATAACCTAAAATAACACATAGGTTTTTGTTATGCATATATAGTCGTACCCGAGCGAAGACACACAATAAGGCATGGTTGATTTATCATTAAACCCAAATAAGTTAAATGTTGTTTTTTAAAGTGAAACTTCTTTAGAATCGTTATGATTTGAAACTTGATGAAATGAAAATGCGACACTAAAAAGAGACCTAAGAGAGAGGGTTAAGCCTGTAACTGTAAGCCTTAAGATTATGAGTTAGAATACATTGCCCTGTTGCCATGGTAACCGTTGTTATTGTCCGACAAACATATAATATTATATTCTTTCCATAATATACATAATATTGTATTGTAATATGTTTACCTAATAATATGCCTTATTTAATTAGAATTGTTTTGTTTTAATTTAATTGCGATATTTGCCAAAGTTTTATTTCAACCGCGCCTAAAGGTTACACGCACCCATATTTTTTTTAATATTCTAGTTAACTAACAATACAATTAGGATTGAATCGAAAAAAAAGCGGTAAACTTTGTATGAAAATATATATTTTTTTGGCAAAATTTACTGTAAGAATTTATATTTACGCTCTTTAAATTGAGTAGTTTGATTTTTTAAGAATTAGCTCCATAAGGCACAAAGTTAGAGTCAAAATATGTTATATGAATAAAATATTGCCATGAAAGAAGATTGCTAGTAGTCCAATATATACGAACTATTATAGAGAACGTCTTAGAAGCGAGAATAGTCCCCCTAGACATACCATTTATGATCGTATTGTCGATACGTTGAGAGCGGATGTGGCGAGATCAAAGGGATCTCCTCCAAATTACTGTTTACGTTGCCTTGACAGCGACACAACTGGGCTTTGTTAACTTTTCTATGTGTAAAAGTAGTGGTTAAGTTAAGAATAACAATTTAAGTATAAGTAAATGATGCTTTAAAAATATTATAGACATCGTATTTACGGCTAGTTTGGATATATCAAAAAAGGTACAGTATAATTTTGTTATGACTTGTGAGTCAAAAAAATATTATGTTTTTTTA